GAGATTTACATGCCCTGGCTATTTTGGTTGTCTTGCATACTACTCTATCCACAGATAATATCCTTATCCTTCTTTCTGCTTAATTCAGTCACTGTTTTTCCAATTCCTGACCAACTTTCCTGCCTGCAGCTCTCTACAACACAGATGGCTGGTACCACTGTAAAACTGATAGCTGTGAGATCAGGTTATAATTCCTGCAGACATTTTCTGAGGTTAATATAGGTGTGAACCACAATTTCTGGGAAGTCCTTGAAATAAAGTACACTGTGAGGTTCTTAAGTCATCTTCCCGCCTTTTTTTCAAAGGGTTTTGTGGCTGGCAGCCTCCTGTTAATCTGCTCTGTTTGAACTCCAGCAACAYACAAGCCAACAAAGGCAATTAAAGTCTGCAGTAATGATCAACTCTGGGAAATGATCGGCATGGATTAAAGCAAATCTAAGGGGTAATTGCTTGGCAACAAGTTCCATAACCCTGAGTGTTAAGTACAGGAGGGGACTTTGAAACCCTGGTAATTACATCAGAAAACCTGTTTGTATAATGAACATTGTTCTTTTAGCTTGATTGAACTGAAAAAAAAAAAAGTTATTCTTTTAAAAGAATCCAGTTTTTTGTTTGCAGGAGATTTTATCTACCTGAGATACTGCTACAACTTTATTGCCAAAATATGTGGGTATATCACAATCTTTGATGTATTCAGCCTTAGACAGGGAAGTGCTRCTCTCCTTTACTGTGAGAAGAGGAGGATAAGGTACACAGACTTTTCCATACACCCAAATGGGCATAGGAAGTTCGTGGAAAGATTTCACTCGACCCAGGTGGGAAGTCCTGAATATCCAGCTTCTGAATTTCCAGTTTTATTTGTGCCTGTGTGTGTTGTTATTTCTTTCCTTTACCTTTGCTTCTGGTGAGTACGGAGGGGAAGCCTGTGGTCACCGTTAAACAGCACTGAGATTTATTGCTCTCTTATGCAACACTCAGTGTGCACCATCAAGGGAGTTGCTCACGAGGGTCACTAACATTACACTGATAAAGAAAAACACAGATTATGCCCTGAGAAGGAAGACAAAGTTTGTATTCAAACCAAAAGTAGGAGGCAGAGGTGAGGAGGAAAGGAGATTGAACCCTGTTCATATAGACCAGCCCTCTGATCATTCCCATTTGGGTTCTCTGTAGAACTGAGAGCTCACTCACAGGCAGATTGAGGTGGAATGGCCACTGCCCCTTTTGCCAGAATCAGCTGGACAGGCCAATCACAGAGATCAGGACAGCAGGAAGGTTTCTGGACAATCATCTTTATGATATACACATGGCATCATAAGGGTGGTTTGGGTTTTTTTGTTTGTATTGTTTGTTTCTGTTTTCTTCAGTTGTCTTATACCTAAACTGTAGGATGGAGGCAAATAACTTTATCTCTTAAACATACTCATGCTGTGCCAGCATGGAGTTTGTATTTCCTGAGCCACTTGGGTTATTTGCAAGTAACCTCTTGCTGTGCTCTCCTGGTTCATTTTTGAAGAGGTGATTTATGACCAGTTGGGTTAGTAGAGGATGAGCTGGTATGTGCCTATGTGTCCTGTGCCCCTAAATCATATTTTTAAGAAAGAATTATCAGGCACACGAGTCTTACTTAGGCMCACTGACATGAATAATATTTAAAGATTTTTACACATTGGTTCTCAAATGGCTATGCATGCATTAGAAGGACCCTCAGCTGAGAATTTCAGTAAAATTTTCCAGTGTGGGAAAGGTTCAGATTAAATAAAGATGTGAAAGTGAACTCTATTATGCTTGGACCTCAGTGTGGGTTCTCTAGTGATGGAGAGCTAAGAACATCTCACAGATCAGGGTGAGGTCCATGATATTTGGATCTCCACATCATGAACATCTAAAATAGCCAAGGGAGATCTAATCAAAGCAGTTAATAGAACTGGAAAGATGCAATTAAGAATGTAGGAAACTAATGAGGTAAATTGTGTCACCATCTTCATTAATTTGTTTGCCTAATTCTTTGCTGCATGCAAAGACACCTTCAGGTGACCTGTCCAGATACAGACRCATACTCTGGTAGATACACATCAGCTTTAGTGAATTTCAACTCCAGAATTCTGTTTTGTTCATTTTTTTTGTTTCTGCTTGTGGGTTTTAAAAACATTTTTGTCTGTTATGTACATATTTAGATGTCTGGGGGGATAATTAGGGACTTGTTGATTTGGTCACTCGGTGAATTATCATTTATGGCATGTTTGTTTGTTTTTGTCTGYTGTTTAGTTTTGTTTGCTTGGTTTGTTTTAATTGTTTTTTGTTGTTTAAATGTTTTCCAAGCACCATGTTCAGCTTTCCCAGGAGAAGCTGTTCCAGGAAACAAACTACAATCTACTAATTTTCATAATCACAAAATTAATAGCTTGTTTGATGTTTTAAGTATCCCCATAGTTTTCCGCAGCTGATAATGTATTAAGCCCAAGACACAATGGTGGTGTGCATGTCAGGAACCTTTCAATATGTATTATTTAAAAACATTTTAAAGATACAAGGCCACTTGTAAACAGTATTTTTTTTTTAACAGTATTACAAGTAAATCTCCAGATAAATGCAAATAATTCCTCAGTGGTGTTTGGGTGGCATTTTTCATCCCTCTATGATTTCTTCATCTGCAGCTCCAAAAGCGAAGTTTTCATTGGCCTGGTGATCTTTTGTAAAGGCTGTGATTGAGCCACCCACCCCCAAAGATGTACAGGATTCTTGTGATAGCAGGAGCAGCAATTGCTCCTTGATGTTGTTTTGGGTTGGAGTTTCACTGGTTGTGTGCCAGCAGAAGGCTGTGCATGGGGAACAGCTAAAGGGTGATACATTTTCTCGTGGAGGAGTTTAAAGAGCAGAGAGAGAGAGAGATCAGACAAAAAAAAGAAACCTGATCTTTGCTGAGGGCAAGTGCAGATGAGAATTTTTCTTCCAAAATTAACTGATTGCCAGATCATTTGAGTTAATTCATGTATTAGATAAAGGCAACACAGATACTTCTCTAACATTTATTCCAGGAGTGAGGGGGGTCTGTGTTACCTTATTGGAATGGTAGCTCCAGTTCATTTTACTCTGCAAATGCTCTACTGAAGTTAATATAGAAGTAAAATCACCAATTAGATGTTATCCTACAAAGTATTTCTAGAATGTGCTGTCTCCTGAAAACATTTTGTAGATGATATTCCACCTAAAGTAAAATTTTGTATTACATATTATCAAATTAGCCACATTYTCCTAAAATGAGCTGTCCTGCTGCTGATGCCTCTGACTCTATGTTTCCCATCTGCTCACCCTGTATCTGATGTCAGGTGTTTGTAGCTCTTGGGTGAGCAAGCTCAGATCACAGCTCAGACAACCAGGGAACAGTTTTCATGAGACCAGCGAGGCCAAGTGTCTCACCTCACAGCCTCAGTTTCCCTGAGGAGCGCTGCAGACGGAAGGTGGGAGGATGTTGTCACTTGGAAATGGGGACATGGCATCCCGTGTTCAGAGGGGATTTGGTGCCAGGCACAGCGCTGGCCATAGAGGTTCAACTCTGTCTCTGTGTGTCAGCCAGGGACTGATTTGTGAGGACCCTGGGAAAGCAAATTCCCTTTTCATGGCAGGGGAAAACTTGTGATATCCAACCCTATCTTTCTCATCTGGGAGATGAGAGGAGGCAGAGAGAAAGGCAAGAAATGGTGGGCACAGACCCAAGCTCTGGAGTGGCTTACCCTTATTCTAAAATCCTSTGGAGGAGCTTGTCCTTGGTTTAAAATCCTCTAGAGAAGCTTGTCCTTGATCTAAAATGCTGTTGGAACCGAGATCCTTCACACAGCCCTCTGCGAGGAGGGTGAGTCAATGAGATCCAGGCAAYGTCAACATGCAGAAAGACTTGATAGGAATTTGAGATTTTGAGGTGCTGAATCTCTCCTGAAATCACTAACTTCTGGGTAGATAAGGTTGCTCAGCGAATTCTGGCCCAAGGGAAATTTTGTAGAAGAAGCACCATGGGCAAAGCAGCAGAAAATTCCAAAACCAGATGGTGTTTGTTGCTTTATAGTGAAGCCAAACAGGAAAGAGGGGGAGAAACTGAGAAGGAATAAGTAGCATTATCTCAAGTCTTTCATCCAAATATCTCTTTATATGTTTGATTTTTTTTTTTTAAATGTATCTCCTTTGGTTTTATTTGATACTTCACTTTTTTCCCATCTCAGTTTTATTCTAGTATCTCTTTTGGTAGTGGAAGAGAGGGAGAGATAKTCAGTTCAGAATTATTTTTCTAGATTTAGGCTGAGCGGGCTAATTGTATCCCTGGGATTATTGTAGTAATTTTTTCAAAATTAATCTAGGAATGCATTTCCCCTGTACATGTATACATGACAAACATCGGTGGCTGATTAAAATATTAGTAAGAATTTCCTACTAATGTACACCCTCTCCCTTCTCTCCCCATCATGCTATCATTTTGTTAATTTGTGGAATTAATCTACTATTTTATASAAATTGTAAAGATTATGATTAAGGGTATAAAAAAGACAAATACTTTTAACTGCATCTCACTGGAAATCTTGGCAACTTTTCTTTCCTTGCTGTCATTAAACAGCCAGTGAGTTACAAAGCCAAAATTACACCTCAGCCTTTCACTTCAGCAATTAAAAAATCCTGAGTGAAATTACCCRTGTAAGATTAGAACCTCATATCTTAAAAAACACAAATATTCACCGCTGTCTAATCTTGTTTCAATATTGTGGTTAACATTTGGCCAGTACTTTTATATTTCCTCGAAAAGTCTATTTATAACAATATTTTGGTATTTTAAGGAATATCAGGTTGCCTTTGTGTAGATTTGTACTGCACTTTCAAAGACATAGCATGAGGAGTGATAGGTTTTTTGTTRGAAATTTTTGGTGAAACAAAAACTGTAAAATTTCTGTAGAAATGTTAAGTTTTCCTGAAAGTCTTGCTCGATTCTTTCCTCTGTTCTGTCTTAACTACAGACCAGTGAGCCTCACTTCTAGGGTGAATGGAATTCCATTGCATCTAGAGATGGCCCGTTTCTTCCTCCATTGGAGAGAACAGCATCAAAAATGATGTGATGATAATATTTTTTTGTTTGGTGAGTAACCATTAATCATCTCAGAAATACCAGGGAATTAATCAGATAGAATCCACACTTCCAGTTCCTGTGTGAGAATGAACAATATCAAGTCATAACCTCTTGACTTAACATGGTCAACTGCACATGGACCAAAGASAACATCAAGAAATTGACATCATCATCTGTTCTTTCAGTGGCTTGTGTAAAATAAATTGGTGATTTTAGTGAAGTGGCTGAGACATCACAAAACTCGTGACTTTTAATCAACTTAAAAGTAAATTAAAGGAATATTCCCCCCCTTCCTACTGACTTAGCAATAGGAGGCATAAAAACRTCATTGAAATAACCCTAGGATAGTCTGCTGGCAATATTGATGTGGAATTCAGCATTTATAGAGTTGTAAKATGTAGACATTTATTGAAGACTGGGAAGATTTTGAACCTCAGACATAAATCACGTCAGAATATCCAAACTGCAACAAAATAATGATCCTTGTGGCAGATATCTGAAAGCATCATCAGCAAAGCCAAGACRGCATCAGAGCTGTGATCCTAACTTTTCCATTTTACTTTATTTCTCAGAGGAATGGCAGGAACACTAAAGTTACTGGACTTGCCCCAGTGAAGGATTTGCCGCAGAGAGCACAAGAGGTGAATATTTTGTCAYTTATTAATCTAACTTACACCTCAGTTTTAGGAAGACAGGCATAAAAATGTTCATTAACTCCTCTCATTCTCAGATTAAATCATCAAGATAAATTTAAAAGAACTTTTAAATATGTTGTTTTCAAATTGTATATTTTCTATTACTGCATTTTGTAACCAAGAAGAAATTAAAATAAAAAAGCAATCTCTTCTTCTGAGGTTGATACAAAGCTGTCACTTGCAATTCAGGGAGACAGGATTAGTTTATTTATTTACAGATATACAACCAGTTAATTAAGCTTTATCTTATCTCCATTTTAATAACAGTTGTGGTTCTACAGTCTGTGTTTATGATTAAGTGTGAATGTTCAGCAATCCTAGAATCAGAGAACAATTGGAATGGATCTCTTTGGGCTGGGCTGCTGATTTGAAATATCTTGAAAATGAGTTGCAATATTAACTTGCAAAATTATCATTCGAAAGCTTTGCCTTGGCATATGCTYGCACAGTGTTATAAAGAGTTGTAACAAGAGCATTAAATTTTATCTTATCAGAGGGAGATCTCCCACATTTTCTAGAAAAGGATTTCCTGCCTAGCTAAAATTCTTAAAAAATTATTTTTCAGAAAAAAAAGCTATTTTGATTATATTTTCTATTTTAAATACAGAAAAGATKCAAAGAAATAGTTTTTGAATGGACAAAATCACAACACATAAAAGTGAAATTTCACATTACAGGATATAAGACATTCGATGTTCAGAAATCCAACATAAGACATGGGAGACTTGGGCTTGAAAAGTTTCCTTCCTTTTATAATACCAGTTTTGTGTTATTAATTATGGAGAAGGAATCTGTTAGCACATTGCTAATCTACCAGTGGAATAGATTGCTGCTTTGTTGAGAATTTGAGACCTTTTTTATCTTTTTATAACCTCTGAAATCGTGGTAACTAGTGTGGAAATCTGTATGAATTGTTCCTTTTCAATAGCAGATTYCTCTGTCCCTGGACAGAACCAATTGGACATTTGAACCAAGAGCCAGGATCCTGCAAACAGGTCAGCAGACTCCTTGAGAATGGTTGGAAATGTCCTACCATGTTGGATGAAATTGGGGCAAACTTTGGTTTCAGGTGTCATTTCTGTGAAGGGTTGGTGTCACTCCTCTTGGTTATAWGGCCTCAAGGTTAATGTTTGGACTTGATGACCTCAAAGATCTTCTCCAACCTGAAATTCTGTGATTCCTCCCTCTCACTGACGGTGGTCCCTGAGTCTCTTTCCTGTGAGATCATTAAGCCTACAGAAACTCCTATCTGGTCYTTCCTCCGAACCTACAGCACAGCTTGTGCTGGGCTGGTGAAGTGAATTGGTGAAAGGAGAGGCTCAGAGACATCAGGGCCAACATGAGATAAGAACAGGAGGAGGRTGAGGACAGCAYAGGGAGGAGAGGGAAGATGGGGAGAACCACAGTGTCACACCAAGGAATGTGTCAACAGTGRGATGTCAGGTTGGCTCACCCCAACTCATGCACCCTAAAACCTACTCCTCTGAACACGTGCCCTCAAGTCTTTTCCTTGCTCTTTTCAGTGCTCATATCAAAGTATAATTTTATTTTCTTTTTTTCTGAATGGTCCTTGACAGTGTCATAATCCCATGCACTAGCACCTCCAGAAAAAGCCATCAGGAAGGGCCATGCAAAGTTTTGCACTAAAATGCCAGAGGGAAAAAAACCAACAAGATTTTACAAGAACTGAAGTTTAAATGGGAGTTAAAATGTATTTATCACTCTCTAGTTGTATTTCAAAATCAGAGAAATCATCCAAAAGCAGCTTGTATTTTTTAGCAGCTCATTTCTGGCTGCRCTGGAGGAAACCTGGTGAAGAGAGGGATTGTTAAACTGTGTTAAGGGAATGCTGTTGTAAATGATTATCTTTGAATCCTCCTGGGCAGCTGAGAAGATAACACCCTCACAGGGGAGATGGAAAAGTGGAGTGAGAATTGGCAACGTTGACAGCTGAAACTCACAACTTAATCTGTTTGGTTAAACTGAGATGGTAAATTGCTTGCTGTGGTGTCTGCTGAGTGGTTCTGYGTCCACCTGGAGATGGTATTTGCTGCTGGAAGGGAAGGTGGGAAGCCAAGGGAATTGTGTCCGCAGCCAGCAASGCAGGATTTGGCTGAACTTGTCTGCTGGAGTCCTAAACAAAAGAAGACCTCCTAGATAACCAGGCTATGTAGTTTTCAAAGATTTATTTATAATTTTAATGGAAAAAAAAAAACCCCATAGGGCAGGAGATCAAGATCACTTGCATGAAAGCTGTAAGCAGCTTTTTTCTTAAGTAGGGTTTGGTTTCATTAATTCAAGGTGTTTACATTTTGCCACAGAGCKTTTACTCCCCAAACAGAGTATGCACAGACTGCTTCAAACATGAAGCTTACAACAGATGAAGACAGAGTATAGGAGGTGTGAAAGGTCATCCTTCAGTCAAAGATGATTTTAAAGTAAGCTATTCACATTTTCCCCAATGGTCTGTGAATCAAAATCTGGTTATTTACAGCATCTCAGCTGAAGGTCAGTGATTTCTGTAACTGCATTGGCTGATTGACATTAGACATAACTGCTTTTGAGATCAGAGAGTCTTAAATGTTAGGTAAAAATGAGGAAACATCTTGTTTAAGCACTTAAAAATTAATTTACCCCCTATTTGCATTTGAAGTCAATTTTAGGCCATTGGTATGAAGTGAAACCGATTCAACCAAAAAGGTTCAAAATAACATATTTCCTTAAATCAGTGCAGGTTCAGGTTTAAACCAGGTCTTGGATGAAAGGCACACTAGCAATGTATTACACTTATAGAAAAAAATATTGTGGTGATTGTTTTATTATTCRTCTTTAGCACAAACCTACCCTCAGAGTGTCAAATATAAGGAATGAAACCTTTCTCCCATATAGGTTCCCCACTATAAAAAGAAGCAAGCAGATTTAGTGTTTCACTGGCAATAAGTCAAATGCTGCTTAAGACATAAGTCAGTGCCATTTGACACAACTGATAGTTTCCACTTGAGTAAAATTCATAAATGTTACCAGCATGAGCTCTGAACAGGTTTTTAATCTCCGGAGTCAGTGGCAGGGCAGTCTGGGGAAAACTAGGGTTATTTTCAGTCTTATGCTTGCCTGTGGAATAAGAAGGACTTTTTGAATTCTTTGCCTGAGAGGCAGCCTGATATTTATCCATCTATCATTGTCTGTTTTTCCTGTGCATTCCTGTTTTATTCAATTGTGAGTTGTTCTCTCTTTTTCAGAGAGGACTTGTGTGTTTGTGTGAGTAGCCATAGTTAATATTGCAGTTCTCTTCTTTCTGAGATGGAGATTGTAATTGCTTATTGATGGCCTTTTTGTATGCTAATGTTGCTCAATAAAAAAAAAAACAAACCAGCGAAAGCGTAATTAACACTCCTGCTTCATCAAAAAAAGAATGGGAAAAAGGAAAGCTTGGAAAGGTCAGTGGATTTCACATGATAAATTACTAAATAGTGGAAGACATAGGATCCTACATCCTAGAAGGAGATGCTTTCACTATTTATGAACTATTATTTATTACAAATGCCGACTATACTCACCTTTCGGTAACTATTTTCTGTATACAATGTATGTAGATATTATGACCCTGTGGTTGGGGGTGTAATGTACTGCAGCCTGCCAATTTTCAGATGTAGTGTCTTTCGAGGGAGCAGCACCTCTGTTTATTCTCCTGTATTTCATTAAGGCAAAACTCCCTGAAAGCACAGGCAGAGCTGGCTGGCTCTTGGAATCACTCGGCCGAGGGTCAGAGCTCTTTGCAARCACTCACGGAGCAGCAACCTGCAGCCCCCCAAGGCAGAACGAGCAGAACATTTACCATTGGAGTCAGAAAATGCTGGCACAACAGGCTCCTTGCATCCTTAGAGAGCAAGGAAAATTTAAAGCCCAAACCCTTGTGATGTAGTTGAGTTTGTTGGATTTTTGGGTTATGCTGTTAGAATGAAAAAGGCATTTTTTGGCAGATGGGCAAGTGTACAGCTGGAACTGGTCCAACAGGGCCCCTGGCCTGTTTTTATTCTGCCTTGGCTGKGAGATGAAGTGAATGGAGCTGCCTCACCTGGATGAATTAATGTGTGYAGCCTGGTGACCGGGGCTGTGTGGATCAATGGTGTGTGGGTGGCTGTCTCTGCCTGGACAGGAGGGCAGTCACAGCTCGCTGGGCAGRCACAACGTGGTTGCATTCAGCCATACGACTCAACCTTCAGATGCTGTCCAGGCTTCAATGTTAAAATGTCATCAAACTTCTAGTAGAAAGGAAAAAAAAATCCAAATTATGACCAGAATGGTTATATAAACTTTTAAATGTAATGTCTTTTAAAGGAGGTGACAGTGCCACAACACCACTGTCCATAGCTTCCTATCTGCATAAAACACATTTTTACAATTAACACTCACAAGTTATTGAATTATAAAAACACTTCTTCAGGATAATTTTGTTTTGTTTTGTTTTATCTGCAGAAGACAGAACATAGGAAACAGGCCTTCCCCACTGAATAACTTCACTTCTTTGGGTATATTACAAAGTACAGTCCTTGAATTTACTGTTCTTCATGTTGCTCATGGAAAAAAAATGTTGCATAGCCATGGACTAGTTGTACAGTTTAAGATAAAAATAAAAGTAAAAATAAAAATAAAAATATAAAAAAMAAGTAAAAGACTATTTCAGGAAAAAAAAAATTATTTCCTAAGAAAAGTAAGGATAAAAGTAAAGTAATTAGAACATATGATCATATAACTAGCAAATCCAAACTCAAAATGCAGCAAAGTCAAAGATTGCTTTAAATTTGCTTTCCCTTCTGTGATTGAGGTCATGGATATGATATTGTGCTATGCTTCAGAGTCAATGCTGTGTGATAACTGCATGTGGAAATTCAATTTATATGCTGCCTTCTCTGCTAGTGTTAATAAAAATATTTCTTTAGTAGTTAATGGAGTTTTTTAGTAAGCACGGGTGAGATCTGYTCAACACCATAGCATGTGACCTTTGTTTCTGGGAAAATGTTTGTGTGTTACTGTACTTCATTATCCTCAGTTAGTGGAACTCACACTGTTTCTTCTTGCTGCTCTCTGACTAAAGGTAAATGATGAGGTTTAGGATTTCAGTCTAGGCATAAGGGACACTTATGTTGAGTCAAGGAATACTTGTATGAAATAATTGACTTTGTTTATATCCATCTGCAATTTATCCACAAGAACAGCCCTGAAAGGTGACATTTATCTTRCAAGTTTCTCATTCATTTCTGTACTCTGAACTCAACTTTCATGCAGMTCAAGTGCATGTAGATGAATATTTATTATAGATGATGAAGTGTCCTTTTGACAGTATAATATACTTCACTATAAAAATAAACAGATTGTGCACAAGGCTGTCTGATTTGACTGGTGGCATGATAGTACCTCACTTATCTGGTGCTTTTCATCACAAAATCTCAACACCACTTRCTGAAGAGGAAAGTGCCATTATCCTTCCTTGGTAATTCCACATCCTTTAGTGGATTTAGAAGTGCTTGAAGATACTGAGACCTTCTCACAACATCTAGAGTATTCTTATTCAAAATTATGTTTTAAAATATAGGAAGCATTGTGGCACTGTAGAAACAAAAGTAGGTTTGTATTTTGATATTCCCATGGGTAAATACAAGTTACTACTGAAGCTGTGTTCGGTTCTTCAACAAATATTGTCATTTCAATAACATAAATTAAACTTTTCTTACTAACAGTTGCACAATTTGCTTTCTGATTTGAAATCATGTCTGGAATGTTAATGGAGATAATTTTCTAAGTTTAGTCTTTAGTTTAACTCTGATGTAATCCATGACTGGAAAGAAAGGCCAAAACACTCAAACTCATACCACATCCAACAAAATGACAGGTTAGGACTTAAAAAAAATTGTTAGAAAGAAAAGAATTAAAAGTAAATCCAGAGTTCAGCCCAAAAAAGAGAATAAAACAGAAATCAAGTTCTAAAGATGCATGTTTGTGACAAGATGCTAAACAAGTTTGTTAAGAGATTTATATATKATTTATGCTCCTTCATCTTTGTTACTTACTGAAAACCACATGTTGTCTGGGACATCTACTCCATGAATTGTATCCTGCAAAAATATAACCTGTGGGTTATATTTTCCTGATGGGAAATTGGCATGCAGAAATTCTGAGAGTCAGCCCATCTCTTCAGAAGTCTAATGAGAGGTAGCTGACTTTAAAATTCAGCTCTCTTAATGCTAAGCCTGCTCACTTTCTGAAAAAAAATTAGTATAGAGGGTGCATGGTGAATGACTTGCCACTCACCACCACCTGCTGTAAAGGGTCTTTTCTGTTGCCTGGATGGGATGTGTGGGCAAAAATTTAAGGAAAGTAAAATGCTGGATGGACCTTATGGGGACACAAGCTTCCTAGATGGCTGATGTTGACAAATGAAAAAGTCATGGAGCCAGGTTACCCTTGTAGAGAGAACTTGGCAAGGCAGGTGGTGATTTCCATGGGAGGGGAGAACTGGCTTTGGGTAACKACCAGGGCAGTGGTGTTTGCTGGTGAAAGACAAAAGAATCATATTCAGAACCATTGGATGTATTTTGGCTTTTAGATATTGAAGGACCAAGCAATGAAGATGTTCCTCAGTATCTCATTGAAAATCTGAGATGTTGGCTCTTAGCATGTTGGTGACACATTGCAAATCTTAAAAATGAAAAAGGTGGGTTTAATTCTAGCTGGAGTCTCTTACTACCATGGTAGGCTTTTGTCCACTCCGGTAATCTTCATGGCATGGACGCCACAAATCAAGGATCACTCTGGTGAGGAAATTGTAGGGAAAAGGGAGAAGTATAAGTAATGCAGCTCTATTCAAACTGAACCAACTGATATTTCAATATAAAATACTGCACTCTACACCTTTAAGCATCTCTGAATTTTCAGTAGAGATGCTGCATTTTCTGAAACAGCTGAACTGCCTGATCCCCAGGAATTGCAGCATGATTAGATGATGCTATTCCCTGTCCCCCTATGCCCAGAGGACAGAGTTAACCTTTGAGTTTGTCCATGCCTGAGCTYTAATAAAAACGTTTGTGAAGTTGATGCATTTGAATAGATTTTATCCAGTGAGTAGTAAGGAGCCTGTATTAGTGGTGCACATGAAATGTCACACTGGACACAAATCTCTCTCAAGCTTCAGGATTGACATAGCCATGTAGTTCTCAGCTCAGCA